GTTGTGCGCCGGTCTCCTGGACCATACATCTACCGTATTTCGATTCTCCCATGAACAGCAGGAAGGCGAGAGTAAGGCAGTTCGGTTAAACAACTGGTCTACTGGGCTAACCTCCTTTGCTTAATCTTCACATATATTGAGAATATCTGTACAGGAAATTGAATAAAACCATTAATCTAGTGATCCTGATAAATAACCGTCATTATTCGTTGACGTCAACACTGTCGCACACTGTCTAATAGTCGTTCCTGATCGATTGAAAACACTGCAGGCTAGAAGGATTATACTACTTAACAGATGTTTGACGGCGGTGTCATGGAACCAATGTACTTATATTAGTAAGTAGGATGGGGTCCTTATAGGTTTTGACTTCTGGATGTTAAAGAGAAAGCCAACTCTCGCAGTTATGTCGTATATGACAGCTATTGGATGATCAGGTTTGCTTCTTGCAATACTCACGAGAATGAAATCATCCAACACCTTCGTCTCGGCAAGATGTACTACCGGAAAGTTTTCATTAAGCATCCTCTCTATGATGATATCATCGATTTTGTCAGGGCAAGGATGGTTTCAGGCGAAAAGGACGTGAATACTGAATAGCAAAGACGAAGACATTTCTCACAAAAGAACTCCACCTATAAAACGAGTCACTCCGATAGCTCTTCTTCGATACCATGATCGACAGAGTTCCTGTTTATTCTGTAGAATATGGATACAATATACATAAATATTACGATATTACGATGATACATTCTGAAACTGAGTGAAATGGACAATGTACTTAGTCAAATGGAACTTAAAGTAAAGCAACAATTTGTAACAAAAGTACTGATTTCGTCTGCCATTGTTCAATGATTGTGATATTCCGGTCACAGGCAGCGTGTAAATACGTCTGGACAAATTCATGACGAATAAGAATAACTGAAATTTCCCTGCAAGGGAACCCGTTAAGAATCAGTGAGACTTTTGTCTCAGAAGATGATTATATATAAACAGAGAAATCTTGTAACTACAGCTATTCAAATCATGTGTCGCGTAATTACTGCATTATAATGAACTAGTGAAGTTTAGTAAAATATTATGCGAGTATATCGAACATCTTTCAGGGCAAGACACATAGTAAGATCTATCGTTTCAGGAACAAGGTGACTTCTAAGTGAGTTCCTTAGGTGGTCGCATCGCAAACTGACCCGGATCTAATCGATAGCGATGAGCATTCTTGAAGCATTTCTAGTAGACTAAACATGGAGCGAAATGAAAACACGTGACAAATCAGACATTTCAGTTAACAGGGCCGTTGCTGCTCTGCCTCAATTAATAAATTACCCAATTCCACAACCACCTGCCCTCAATCACAACCGTGCCATCAGGAATTTTCACACTGTCATGAACTTTCCTAAGCAAGTCCATGAATCCGATACATAATCAAGCTCGCAATTTGAACAAGAGGAGACCTGCAAATTACAAAGCTCAATTCTGCAGAAAGTGTACCAAATTGAATTTTAACAACTTTGGAAATCTTGCTCTAAGTTCAACCGAGTCACGCAGTCCAAAGTCGATGCTTTAATGTTTAAACAAAACAGCAAACACACACACACACTACAAAGATGTTCTAAGAACGACCGTATATGATGAACTTATCTATGTCGGAAGGTAAATGCGTGACACCAGATTCTGTGAATGCATGACTGATGTAAACCGTCTGATTAAAGAGCATGACAATATTTTAGAGCCCTTGCTACCTTATGAAAGCAGAATAACAAATTACTCAATGAATTAAGGGACAAATTAAACCGACATTCTTCTTTCACGAGCAATGGAAAGTGGGTCCGCCGTAAAACTCGACAAAACCAATTGGAAAGTGGACAAATACTTTTAGATAATTTTTACACAAATCTGCTATTTAAAAGTTTCTATTAAAGAAATCTGAGTGAAGGAATATAACAGTTTATGGATAACTGCAGCGTTCGGACGATTTGCAATTTTTCGCAGAAGCTATTACGGATTCTTTGGAGAAAGATCATACCATGACAAAAGGCCTTTAGTGCATCGTCTGAAATTTACCTGTGACGACATCTGTAATGTGGAAATAGAAAAAAGTTCAAAATAAGCGCATGAAACATTAATTCAATGGCGGAAGAAATTACATTGCATTGGCACAGAACAGCATCATGAAAAACTATCTCATTTATTTAGTCTATATCATATAATATGCTTCACGATGTTATGGCTCTGCTGCAGCACCGTTCCACACAGGTCCGTCACTCAGCAAATCGGTGGTTTGAAGGGACGATCAGATGCTATTGAAGCATTATGATATCTGCGGACAGTACGCTACCTACCTTTGTGGAATATTAAATAAAACACGTGGCCAATTGGCTGTTAAATGTCAAGCAGGGGCATTCGCACGAATGTTGAAATGTCACAAGACAGGAAGGTGACGCAGCTATTTCTTGTCCAGCAAACCGGCAGAAGGCAAAGGGGACGGCCAAGAATAACCTGGTGCAAGTATATGGAAGGAATTCGCTCTAGACTCCAGTTGTCTTCTGCCGAAACACAGACCCTGGAACAGGAATGTGAGCGTTGGAACCACTGTCTGAAGCGTCTGCCTCCACGACCCGAAAGGGGAAGAAATTATGGAAAATGAAGATGATGAAGATGTCAAACAAACAATCTCGCTTCTGGTTCTGCTAATTGTCAGAGTTATCGCGGTGTGTGTCCTTAGATGTAGAGATAAACCGAGAAAAAAAACTACATCCAGTGTAAAATTGTTTGATGTTTGCATAGGTATAACTGCTATCGTATCGTTATAAAAATAATTCTTCTAAGTAAACACGTCGCTGTATGATGATAACGATGCTGCAACTAGAGCAGGGGATAGATACACGGAAAGCCCGGGTTGTTTTACTGCAGGTCTATGCAATGTACGCATTGTGACATTGTTAACATTCTTCTTATCTTTCACTACAGTGAGATGCGGTAAAACTTTATGCCCGGTTTTTATGATGAGTCTGATTGACGTTAACGGCTTGAATTCGATTGCACAAAATAAGTAGCTGCGATGGGTCGTACAATGGCATATCAGCTCAAAGTTAAGACTAGAGCAAAATAGCACAAAGTTAAAGTAATTAGATACTGGACATGATGATGTTACAGCAGCTTCCATCCAGTCGAGAACGCAACGATTTTTTTCCGATTGGACGGTAGTCGCGCATTCGTTAATCCAATAAATTATCAATTTAAACACCATCTTCGTTCCCCTTGAAACTTCCTCTGAAAATAAGTCATATTTATTTTAGTTTTGAAGCTTCTTTACTTCAGTCGTGAAGTTCCCTTCATTTTTTGTTGCCAGTCATTCTCATTTTTTGTGAA